ACCTAGAACGTACTAGATGATCAGGTTCATGTAGATCTCTGAATTCTCACCCACCTTGCCCATTCTGCTCCAAACATTTTGGTCTGCCTGCATTTGTCAACATTTCAATGCCTCCCAACACCTACACCTGTCCCTCCTCCCTGCTTGCCGTCTTCTGGCCTGGATGTGATAAGGCTTGTTCACCCACATTATTCAGATCTGTGCTCAAAGGTTACCTTTTCATCAGGGAGATATTCCCCAACTACCTTAGCCAAGGCAGCACATAATGCCCTCGCACAAACATTCACTTGCTCTCTCCCCCAATCCTTTACTTACTCCACTTTTGTTCCTTGATATTTTATTTGGTTTCTTTCCCCCCCATCAGTAAATTGAAATGTCCATAATGGTAGAGATCTTGCCTGCTGTGTTTACCATAAAACTTCCAGAGTTAAAAAAAAAAAAAGGGACTTCCGGAGTTCAAAAAAGTGCCTGGTACACATTGGAGAGACCAAGAAATATGTATTGAATGAAGTAATGATGGTGTTTCTCAAATCCAGTGCCACCAGTTCTTTCTACGTGTGTGCATTCTTCCTTGCTTGGTGGCTCTTCTCTGTGATGCTGGCTTATCTCAACTGGTAAAGGGTCCTATGTGTATCTTGTATTCGTGATGCCCTGTTAGGCCATCATGGAAAAGCTCTATCAATGTTCTCCAGCCCGTACCTGGAGAAGATTCCTGAATGATCCTGGTGGGGGACTGACAGATGCCTCCAGCCACTTTGGTTGGGGGAGTGGTTGTGCCAGAATAGACTCCCGATTGGGATGTACCTATAGCCAGTCTCTGAGATGGACCCTGTTCATTCCTCCTGACTGTGACCAATACTCTGAGGTCTCAGTCCTTCCTTTTCAGTAGAGGCCCTACATGCATTGTTGTGGCCTGAGAGCTGGCACCACTCTTGCTTGTTGCTTTACACAGAGAGAAACATGGAATGCTTGACCTACTTGGCTGCTCCCACTGTAGCAACCCTATTATCTTACCTTCAGTGCCCCAGGGCTCTCTCCTCCTTACTTCAAATATCTTTCATCCATGTGCATGAAGCAGCATCCTTTTCTTTAAATTATTTTGAGACCATTTCAGATACACAGGCTGTTGCAAAACAGTTCAAAGAATTCCTATATTTCCTGCACTCAGTACAATGTATGCAGTACCTTGTGGGAGCCAAGGAACTCATGTTTGCTATAATGCTATTAACTCGAATATGGACCTGATTCAGATTTCATCAGTTTTTTCATGCACTCCTTTAAGAAAAAAAGAGAGCTTTATTGAGATATGATTCATATACCAGATATATATACCGCCAATGTTGCCCATTTGAAGTTTTCGATTCAATGATTTTTACCATATTCACAGAGTTGTGCAACCATCAACAGAATCTAATTTTAGGACATTTTCATTACCTCCAAAAAAGGAAAACCACATCCATTAGCGTTTACTCTTGATTCACCACCCTCCGGTCCCAGGCAATCGCTAGTTTATCTTCTGTCTTTTTAGATTTGCCTAATGTTTTCATCCATGTTATAACATGTATCAGTACTTCATTCCTTTTTATGGCCAAATAATATTCCACTGTATTCATACACCACATTTTGTGTATCCATTCATCAGTTGATGGACATTTGGGTTGTTTCCACATCTTGGCTATTGTGAACGCTGCTGCTATAATGGTTTGGTTTTTTTTTTTAAGACTTTATTTATTTATTTATTTATTTATTTATTTATTTATTTATTTATAGAGACACAGAGAAAGAGAGAGAGAGAGAGAGAGAGAGAGAGAGAGAGAAGCAGAGACACAGGCAGAGAGAGAAGCAAGCACCATGCAAAGAGCCTGACATGGGACTTGATGCAGGGTCTCCAGGATCACGCCTAAACCGCTGCGCCACTGGGGCTGCCCACGCTACTGCTATATACTGCATATTTGGGGGGAAGGTAGTTCTAGGAGATTTCATCACATAGATTCAATAATTATCATCACAATCAGAATACAGAACTGTTTCATCATCACAAATAAAATCCCTCATGTTATCCCTCAGTGAACACACATTTTCTGCAACCCTAATCCCTGGCTCCCACTGATCTGTTCTCCATCTCTAGAATTTGTCACTTTGAGAATGTTATGCAAATGAAATCATACAGTATTTAACCCCTGGAGAGTGACTGGTTTTCTCCACTCAGAATAATGCTCTTGCATGTGTCAAGTTGTTGCATTTTGTTTCTATTTATTGCTGAGAATTATTCCGTAGTATGGATGTACCACGGTTTATTTGTTCATCCATTGAAGGACATATGGATTGTTTCCAGCTTTGGGCTATTACAAATAAGCCTTCAATGAATACTACTTTACAGATTTTGCATGAACATACATTTTCATTTCTCTGAGATAAATGCCTAAGAGTAGAGTTGCTGGATCATGTGATAATTGCATGTTTAGTTTTTTGAGAAACTTTTAAACTGTTTCCTAAAGTATCTGTACCATTTTACATTCCCATTAGCAATTCATGAGAGACCTGATTTCTCTGCATCTTCACCAGTGTTTGCTGTTGTCAGTAATTGTTACCTTAGCTATTCTGATAGGTGTGTAGATGGTCATGGATTTAATTTGCATTTCTGTGATGACTATTTGTATTCGCTTTTTATTGCTGCCGTAAGAAATCACCACACTTTAGCATCTTAGAGCAACAAAAAAAAAATTGTTTTATAGTTCTGTATGTCAGAGGTCTGAAACAGGTATCCCTGGGTTAAAATCATGGTGTGGGCAGGGCTTTCATTCCTTTCTGGAAGGTCTAGGGGAGAATCTGTTTCCTTCTAGAGGTCACCAGCATTCCTTGGCTTGTGGCTCTCCTTCTTCCTTCAAAACCAGCAATATGGTATTTCTCTGATTCTTATTCTGTTGTGGCCTTTCTGTGACTGTAGCCAGGAAAAGTTCTCACCTTTTTTATGACTTGTATGATCAGACTGAGCTAACCTGGGTAATCCAGAATGATCTCCCCATTTCAAGGTCCTTAATCTTAATTACATTGAAAAGGTCCCTTTTGCCAAGTAAGATAATATATTCATGGGTTCCAGGGATTAGGAGTTGGACATCTTTTGGAGGTTATTATTCTGCCTATGATACTAATGATATTGAACACTTAAAAAATTTTTTTAAAGATTTTATTTATTTATTCATGAGACACACACACACAGAGAGAGAGAGAGAGAGAGAGAGAGAGAGAGAGAGAGAGGCAGAGACACAGGCAGAGGGAGAAGCAGGCTCCATTCAGGGAGCCTGACGTGGGACTCGATCCTGGGTCTCCAGGATCACGCCCTGGGCTGAAGACGGCACTAAACCACTGAGCCACCCAGGCTGCCCTATTGAACACTTTTATATGAACATTCATATATTTTCTTTGCTGAATTTGTTCATTCAAATCTTTTATGCACTTCTAATTGGATTGTTCCACTTTTGAGTTTAGAATGTTTAAATATTCAGGATATGAGTGTTATATTGAATATATGATTTGCAAATATGTTTATATTGTTCTCAGTCTTCGGTTAGTCTTTTCATTTTCTTAGTAGGCTATTTTACAGAGCAAATGTCTTAAACTCTGGTGAGTTCCAGTTCACTAATTTATTTTTGAATCATGTCTTTCAATTCATATCTAGGTACTCCTCACCTAACTTTAGGTCACGGAGACTTTCTTCTGAAAGTTTTATAGTATTACATTTTACATTTAAATCTACCATACATGGGCAGCCCGGATGGCTTAGCAGTTTAGCACCGCCTTCAGCCCAAGGCCTGATCCCAGAGACCTGGGATCGAGTCCCACGGCGGGCTCCCTGCATGGGGCGTGCTTCTTCTCTGCCTGTGTCTCTGCCTCTCTCTCTCTCTCTCTGTGGCTCTCATGAATAAATAAATACAATCTTAAAAAAATAATAAAAAATAATAAAATAATAATAATAAAATAATAAAAAATAAATCTACCATACATATTTGTTTAGAAACAGCTATTATTTTCATGCTTCTGCACAAACAGGGCTTTGTGAGCAAAAATTACTGGCAACTGTGCTAAAGTTTAAGCATTTTATTCCCATACATTTTCTTCTAAGCACTGCTTTAGCCACATAGCACAGATATTTTTAAAAAATATTTTATTTATTCACTCATGAGAGACACAGAGAGAGAAGCAGAGACACAGTCAGAGGAAGAAGCAGGTTCCCCGCAGGGAGCCTGATGTGGGACTCGATGCTTGGACCCCCGGGATCATGCCCTGAGCCGAAGGCAGACGTTCAACCACTGAGCCACCCAGGGGCCTCAGCACAGATATTTTTGACTGAAATTTTTCTTGACATAATTGTAGGTTTACATGCAGTGGTGAGAAGCCATACAGAGAGATCCCTTGTGCGTGTTGCCTAGTTATCCTCAAAGACAATATTTCAAAAAATTACAGCATAATATCACAACTAGGATATTGACATTGAGAAAATCCATTGATTTTATTCAGATTTTCCCAGTTTTACTTGTACTCTTTTGGGTACATGTATAAGTACTACACAATTTGACATCTGTATGTGTTCGTGTATCCACCACCACAGTCAAGATAGTGAAGAATTCCAACACCACTGCCACTAGGGTCCCTCATGTGGCTCTTTTATATCAACCCCCCCCCCCCTTTTGCCAAGCTTCCTTTCCCTGACGCACTGGTTTGCCTTCCTTTTCTAAAATCGTCATTTCAAAATTGGTTTAAAAGTAGAATCATACCGATGTAATCTTAAAGGGCTTGACTTTTTTTGATCAGCAGAACTTCCTGGAGATTCATCCAGGATCAGGGTTCATTTTTAAATACTTGCTGAGTAGTTTTCCATGGTCAGTGAATACCAGTTTGTTAAGCCATTCACCCGTTGAAGGACTCTGGACTGATTCCAGTTTTCAGTTGTAACAAATGAAGCGTCTATGAACATTCATCTGTTGACTTTTGTGTGAGCACAAGTTTTCATTTTTCTAAGATAAATACCCAGGAGTGCAATCACTGGGTAGTGCAATAGTTGCATGTTTAGTTTTTAAAGAAACTGTCAAACTGTTTCCCAGAGTAGCTATACCATTTTACATTCCAATCAGAAATGTGTGAAAGATTTAGTTTCTTCAGATTTTCACCAGAATTTGATGTTGTCACTTTTTTTTTTCCTTCCCGGTAAGTATGCAGTGGTATTTCATTATAGTTTTCCACAGTTTTGTGTTTTCATTTGAACTCAGTTGATTTTTTCATAAGCTCTCTCTCAAGACTACTTATTTGACACATGGATTATTTAGAACTTCCTTATATGATTTCTAAGTGCTTAGAGATTTTTCTGTTCTCTTTCTTTTGTTGAATTCTAGTCTGATTCCATTATGGTCAGATAACATATTTTATATGATTCCAATTCTTTTAAATTAGTTAAGATTCATTTTATGATTTAAGAAAAATCTCTGATGAATGTTCTGTGAACACTTAAAAAGAATACAGGTTCTGTTGTTTTGGTGAAATGTTCTCTTGACTATGTTAGATTTCACTGGTTGGTAATATTGTTCAATTCTTTAAAATCCTTGTTGACATTTTTTTCTACTGTTTTTACAAATTCTAACAAAGGGGTGTTAAAGTCCCTGACTGTAATTGTGAATTTCTCTATTTCTCTGTTCATTCTTGTTTTTGCTCTGAGTACTTTGTAGTTCTATTTGCTGAATACACATATAAGATTGTTATGTCTCTTGGCTAACTGACCCTTGTAGCATTGTATAATGTCTTGTTTTGACCCTGATAAATTATTTTTTCTGAAGTCTTCTTCATCTGATATTAACATAACCACTTCAACTTTCTGTTGATGAGTGTTTAGTTCATGCTATCTTTTTTCTATCCTTTTACATTTAAGCTACATTGTATATATCATATATTATAGCATTACATTTGAGACATATTTCATATTTACCATGTAGTCAATTATGTCGTTTTTAAAAATCCTTCTGGCAAGCCAATCTTTGTCTTTTAATCGATGTGATTAGGCCTTTTAGATTTAAGGTAATTATCAACATTGCAGAATTTATGCCTGCTGTACTATTATTTGTTTTGTGTTATCCCTCTGTTTATTTATTCTTCAGGTCCCCTTTGCCTTTCTCTGGGCTACCTGAATACTTTTTTAATATTCCATTTTGATTATCTGTAGTGTTATTTATCGAGTCTGTCTCTTCATAGAATTTTTTAAGCAGTTGTTCTATGGACTATAATAAGTATAGTTTATTGTAGTCTTACTGTTAGGAGAATTTGCCCACTTCAAGTGGGATGTGGATACATCACCACCATTTAGGTTACTTTACCCTTCCTTTTATAATATAGTTGTCCTAAAATATTACTTCCATATACATTGAGAACTGTATCAGACATTGTTATAATTTTTTACTTTTATGTTAAACACAATTTTTTAAAGGTTTTATTTATTTATTTATGAGAGACACAGAGAGAGAGAGGCAAAGACACGGGCAGAGGGAGATTGTCCTCCGTGGGGAGCCCAATGTGGGACTCGATCCCAGGAGTCTGGGATCACACCCTGAGCCAAAGGCAGATGCTCAACCACTGAGCCACCCAGGCATCCCTTAAACACAATTTTTTAAAAAAATTGCAAGGAAAAACTCCGTTGGACTTACCAATATTTTTACCCTTTACATTGTTCTTTCTTCATTTCTGATGTTCTTAGTTTTCCTCTGTGTGAAGTGTTTCTTTCGGGTATGCTTTTATTTTGTTGATGACAAATTCTCTTAGCCTTTGTTTTTAATGTTGAATATACTGATTTTTTCCTATTTCTGAAGCATATTTTTACTGGCTATAGAACTTTGGGTTGACACTTCTTTCAGCACTTGCAAAATTTTGTACCAATTTCTCTGACCTCCATGATTTCTAATTAGTAACCAGCTAATATTTGAATCATTATTCTTCTGTAGGTAATATAATAGGGTTTTTTTTTTTTTCTTCCTGCTTTTAAAAGTTTTTCTCCTGTCTTCAGTTTTCAGAATTTAGGCTATGATATATTTAGGTATGGATTGCTTTTATTTGTGGTTCACTCAGCTTTTTGAGTCTGTAGATTTATACTTTCATCAAGTGTGGGCAGTTTTTAGCCATTTGCTTTAAATATTTTTTTTAGTCCTTTTTTTGTTTTGTTTTTTCTTGTTTTTGTTTTCCTCCTGGAACTTTGATGACATGAATGTTAAATTTCTTGTTAGTATCCCATTGGTCCCTAGGGCTCAATTTATTTTTAAAAATTCTTTCTTTCTCTCCTTCTCCTTCTCCTTCCTTCTCCTTTGTTTGAATAATTTGTTAACTTACCTTAGATTTCACTAATTCTTTCCTTGGGATTTCCATTCTGTTATTGAACCCATCCACTGAAGTTTTTTTATGTAGACTGTTGTATTTTTCAGGTGTAGACTTTTCATTTAGTTTTTCTTTACATCTAATTCTTTGATATTTTCTAATTTTTATTTGTTCCAAAGTGTTCATAATTGCTTGTTTAAGCATTTTTGTCAGCTTCTTGAAAATATTATTTAGACAATTCAAACATCTGTGTCATCTAGGTTTTGTCAACTGTTATTTGTCTTTTCTCATTTGAGTCTACATTTTCTTGGTTCTTCATAAGACAAAATTCTGTACTGTATCTTGGACATTTTGAGAGTTGTGTTATAAGACCTTAGTTCGTATAAAATCTTTTTTAGCAACCTGGTTAGGTTCATGATTCATATTTGGTGCTCCTTTCTGTGTGCACATGTTCAAATTTCAGTTTAGTTTGTCAAGCCTCTGCCATGCTATTCTGATCTGCTCTGCCTCTGTTACTCAGATGACAACACTGCATGCCACAGTCTCTCAGCACTATCTGTGTAGGTGAAGGGGCACTACCTCTCTCTTGCATGGCAGAGTTTGGAAGATAAGGTTTTACTTTCTGACTCATGTGGGGATGGTTCCCTCCCAGTAACTGAAGTGGGATTGTAAGTCATAGTTCTCTCTGGGCAAGGAGCACTTTCTTGTTAGTTGAAAGAGAGTCAAAGTCAGTTATGTTCCAAGACTCTGCAGGGAAGAGCATTACTTGTTGCTGAAAAGAGTGTGTGGAGGTCAGAGTTCTGCCCATAGTTTCTCTGGGGAGAGACAACTCCTCGTGACAGAGGGAAGTGCAAAAAACAGCACTGCTAATTGACCCTGGATTGTGGTGTCCATCGTGGTGGGAGAGGCATGTGGTGTTTCTCCTGCTGTTTACCTCAGGAACAGGGAGATGTGGTTAAAGTGTTTCTGTCTTGTTGGATCACCCTTTTCCTGATCCTCTGCCTAGAGAAAGCTGACTTTTCTCGGTGATATTTTCTGTCTGTGACTCTTGGTGTTTCTAGATTATAAGCATTCAGACTGTGGTATTTATGAGGCAAGAAAAAACTCAGGGAACTCACTGTCAGCTTGTTCCTTAAGTCCCAAGGTCCTTTACCATTCCACCTTATTTTCTTTTCCCTTCAGATGGTTCTGTGTCTTACATTAGTTTTCTAAGATTTTTTTAGATTTTTTATTTATTTATTCGGAGAGAGAGAGAGAGAGAGAGAGAGAGAGAGAGAGAGAGAGGCAGAGACACAGGCAGAGGGAGAAGCTGGCTCCATGCAGGAAGCCTGACGTGGGACTAGATCCCGGGTCTCCAGGATCACACCCTGGGTTGCAGGTGGCACTAAACCGCTGTGCCACCAGGGCTGCCCAGTTTTCTGAGATTTTTTTATTGTGATTACTGGAAAGAATAAAATGGATGTGTTTCCTCCATTTCATCTGGAACCAGCAGGCTCCAGAGAAGCACTCTTGTTAGTAGCTTGTGTATTAGCTTATTTATGTTTTAGCAGTTTTTATCCCATATTTAATTCTGTATGTTCTCTTAAAATCTTCCTAGTATTCCTCCAAGATTATTCATTCATGTTTTGCTCTATGGTAATAGATTTTTAAATCCCACCTTTTTTCTGTTATTTCTAGATATTCACTGTGGAAGATAGAGGTTTCCACATGGGATCAGCCTGTTGTCTAGAACCAGAATATATAAAACATTTATTTCTGTGAATTTATGTTGTCATTTAACAGATCATGCTTACTGAGAATAACAAAATTCTATGCAGGGCAGCCCAGTGGCTCGGTGGTTTAGCATGCCTTCAGTCTGGAGCTTGATCCTGGAGACCTGGGATCGAGTCCCACGTTAGGCTCCCTGCATGGAGCCTGCTTCTCTCTCTGCCTGTCTCTCTCTCTCTCTCTCTCTCTCATGAATAAATAAATAAAATCTTTTAAAAAAATTCTATGCAAAGAAACATAAACTTTAGCAAAAACATATGCATCAATTAATAAAGTATTTAAATATTAAAATTGGGATTACGCTGGGTTTACATATATAAATAAATACCACAGAGACACGCTGAGCTGTTGCATTGAGCTGCTTCTGAGAAATCAGACAACTATTGATTGGGGATATTGGGGATCATTGCTACAGTTGATTCCATGGCAACAGTTGAGATAAAAAGCAAATAAAAAGGGGAAAGAGACAGAATTTAGGTGGGAATCCCAAGGGAAATCCAGAGAAAAGTAAAAGGAGGGTCTCAGGGTGACTTCTAAAAAGATTTGTCTTTTTTTTGACTTCTAAAAAGATTTTGCTTAAGGGGGAAGATTAGAAGATTGGTGAGATTCATAAAACTACTTATAGAAAAAAATAGTACCATTTGAAAAGCAACCATAGATTGATAGAAGTTGTGTTTAATTTAATCACCCATTATAATAATTGCTGTTACTTACTATTTTATCACTGAAATTAACATGGACAGCTTGAGAAACAAAAGAAAATGATGACAGTTGTGGGCATGTAAGAATTTTAATTAAAGTAGAAAGATGTCCAATTGCATTAGGAAGCTTAAACAAATTATTTTATCTGATGAGTGAACATTTAAGACAGATAAAAATTTTGCAACTTAGTAAAAAGAAATAATTGACAGGCTTTTAACATATTTGTAAAAATGTTTTATTTACTTACTTTTTCATGGCAGTTCAATCCTTCACACAATTGAGAGTATGAATTTAGAGATTGTCTGTTAAATCTTTTTGAGTAAATTGAAAGCTAACACAAAGCCTATACCAGAAAATGAAGTTTAATTACCTTAAAAATTCTGGAT